AAGGGCCTTGAAAACACAGTTAAAACTTTCATTCAAGCGAAATGGAAGGCGATAAAAGCTGAGAAAACTGTACATACCAGGTTGTCCAGGCTGGCCAGGAGGTCCAGGAGGCCCAGGTGGACAGACTGGTTTTGGTGGTACACACTGGCACCAAGCTGGAAGTCCAGAAAAGTCTTGCCTTTTCTGACGGAATATCGAGTTGAAGGGATTGTGCGAGGCTTCGAAGGTGGAGAGACGGCAATTTGAATATCCATCATTTCAGTCCAGGCAGAATCGGTCTCCACACGGAATACTGACACTCCATCAAGTACTTGGTCGTGAATTTCATTGATAGTATTGTAAAGCGATGGCACGACAACCAGGACAACGACGACGGCAAGAGTGGAGCAGGCCGATGCCACGCCAACGACGAGCTTCTCTTCAAACATAGCAGAACGCCAAATTTTCCTCAGCACCCACCCCTTTTATAGATACCATCCAGCCAGCAGGTCGGGCCACGCCCTCGCTGAGGAGTGGCTGGTTCGGGGCGTGACGAGCAGGTAGCGAGGACAAATTCCAAGGATTGAGTGAGTCTACAGAGAAACTTCGCATAAACTTGAAGAGTGTTGACTTTAAAGCATAATTGACGTGATCTAATTTGGGCAAAAAGTTGCCCCGGGTGAAACAACGGGGTTGGCCGCATTCCATAAATGTTCTAAGCCATACACAGCTAAAGTAGAGCATTAGGAGAATTCCATCGGTAGGGGTAGGCGTCTTGCTTTGAGATGAATTTTTCGACCCTCAAGAAAACTTTTTTTGGGCATGCTGATTTTCTCATTTCACATTTTCACGCTCTATACTCCCTCCTCTCTTCCCCTCCCCCGCTTGGCCACCAAATAGGATGGGAAAAGAGGTCATAACTGATGAAGGAAATTTGGAGAACAAAGGGATGCTGACCGAATGCATGCAATCGCATGTGGTAAATTCTGGGACTTAATGATAACCTGGCCTCCTAATTCTATCCACTAGTGGACCGCCAATACATCCACTCCTATGAGAATACCTCAACTCGTTCTGCCGAATAATAAATATTCCAATTTATGTGTAAGTTTTCCGCTGCCCCCCACCACTTTTTCCGTTTTTCCAGCATAGTTACCCAAAAATTCATACCCGGGGTTTTTCCCCCTCAAGAATCGTCTGCACCTGATAGAGCGGAGCCGGTTGAACCCCGAGCGAATGGTGGGGAGGAGGGTCGTTAGAAAGTTAACCACTATTCCAGTTTCGGAAGGGGGGGGAAGTCAGCAACCTCTTTCAGTGGGTCAGAAGGGAAATATCACCTCCTCCCTCCCAACAACGAGCAAACACGACCCCTCCCCTTTATAGCGTCCGTGAAACAAGAGAAATCAACTATCGGAAAAATTTTTTTCAGACCAAATACGACCTCCCCTCCCTCGCGGTCAATTACGACCCCCCCCCCCTTGTTGTGATTATCACAAGGATGGCGTGCCCTGGTGCTGACTCTGTTTCACCCATGCCAACGCTGCACTCTTAGGTGAACTCTCAGAATCAATAGTGCCAAGGAGTTCGGGTAAAACATAAAACTGAGAAAACCAGAAATCTACATGAGTTTGCTTCTACAAGGTATATTCTTAGCAGTGAGACGTAGATTTCTGGTTTTCTAGTTACTGCGCTGAAAGGAACTGCCTGTAATGGATTCCAAAGAAATTGCCGTTGATAAAAGAAAGAATATAAAGCTATTTAGTAAAGCCACATTCTCATGGAATATTCGACGCTGTTTGGCTTAGGAGGGGCTTTTTGCACTTCTTGCTAGCCTTCTGATAGTTCACGGTAACTAACAAGTTTCATTGCGATGAAACCTGCAAACTCTAACGAAACTAAGAAACTGTACAAGTGAGTTACTTTGGTTACAGGAATTTACAGGTCTTCGCAAATGACCTGTGAAGGCTTCACTGGGAACCATTTGGTGCCCACACCGAGTCGAACTGCCCCGAATATTCTTTTTGAGGTGAAGGTCGTGTAATGACAAGTGATGCTGATTTTAACGCGCATGATCGAGGGCTCGGATCTCGGACCAGCTTTCACCGGGTCGGTTTATTCAAGACTGTCTTATATGGTAGGATAAAATGACTTGAGCTTGGGTCCGCAATTCGTTGTCTAGGACAAATACCATTCAAAAGTCATTATGCTGCCGAATGGACAGGGAAAACTATGGCGCATCCGGAGGCATATGCTTTGTCCTTCATA